CACGGCAGCCACTGAGTCTGTGCCCGTGATTAAGACCAAACAAGGGAAACAGGGAAAAATATCCAGCAACTCTGGGTTTGCCAGCCCTGTATATTTTAGTAGCTCAGCATTATCTTAAAAACCTTCTTAGGAATGCTTGTTGAATTGGGGAAGCTTTTGAGCCCCCAGACTGCTATGAGGAAGGGGTTTTATAAACTTTTGTAAGCTGAAATTTTTGGTCTCAGTTTAGTTCCACTTATTAATAACCTACTATGTGCAAGGCAAATCAGTTCAGTGAGTAGCAGCTTCTATTTCTAGAATGCTTTTGGTGAGGGGTTCCCAAGCTGGGACACATGTACCCCTATGGGGGCATGAGAAGCTTTTCAAAGGGATGGGGGGAATACTTAGTAAATAACTATCTTTTTGAAAATAATTAACCTCTTTATTTTAGTTGTTATTTGTATATGCATGATAAATTTTAGAATTTATTTTTCGTATTGAATAGGGGATATGGGAAGGTTTACTAAAAGTCCAGGGGCATGAGTGACTGAAAAAGGTTGAGAACCCCTGCTTTGGGGTTTAACAAAGCATTTTTCTCACAATAATGCCTTGAGGTAAGGCTTGTGCAGGTATTCTGAGGCAGGTTGACAGAGAGCATGTGTGCGCATCACAGCCAAACATAATTAGAACTGATGTCAGATTCTCCCTCTACTCGGAGCCTTCAGTTTCCTCATCTGTGAAATGGGAGTAGTACTCTTCATGCTCCTCACCACACAGGGTTGTTGTGAGGAAAGTCCTTTGTAAACTAAAATAATTTTTAAAAAATGCTTTCAGGCATTGCAAAGCAGTTTCTTCACAGCAATTCTGTGGGAGATGTATTTTCATCCTCATGATGAAGAAACTGAGGCTCCAAGAGGTTAACTTGTCCAGGTTTGCACAGCTAGCTAAGTGGCAAAGCCAAGGTTCAAATCTGGGTCTCTCTAGACTCCAAAGTCAGCATTCCTTCTACTCTACCCCCACCGAGGACTTACTCTTGCCAGGGCACAGCCGTGCACAGCGAAGTGACTCCTAAAGCCTTGTGTTACCATTTTTACCACTGCTTCCTCCTCTGAACCTGAATAACTAGCACATAAGAATTCAGCTTAATCCTTTTTCTTTCTTGCTCAATGACGTATTCAAATGACTTAGATTGACTCCTCTGGTCTCCCAGCTGCTCTCTGCCAGGGCAACAGATGTACTTTTGTAACTGTCCAATTAACCCATGCACCTTTGGTTACCATTTTGATTATTTGAATTGTATCCCCTGAGTGTTGCCACTTTGCAGAATGCCAGAAGCCCTTCTATTATCTGATCCCCGTCCCTGCAGCACAAATGTCCTGTCACTTCGACAGCAGCAGAAAGTCCAACAAATATTGATTAAGCACCTCATGTGTGCAAGGTACGTACCATGCTCAAGGCTGAAAAATCAGCCCAGTTCCTGCCCTCAAGGAGTGCCTGCCACTGGTGGTTGGAGAAGAGGACGTTCATACAGGGAGCTCTGATAGAAATTCGAAAATTATTGAAGCACGTGAGAAAGGTCAAACAGTATCCCACGAGCTCTGATTGAGGAGGGGTATCTCCTATTTCGGGGGAACAAGAGAGGCGTCATGGAAGAAGTGGCACCGTAGCTGTTACTTGAAGAGAGCTGGAGGGAAAGGGTGGGGGGTGCACTTCTAGAAGGCAAGAGATGATGTAAGCAAAGACCTGGAGGTAGCAGGGACTAGGGCAAGGCTGGGGAGCACTTGGTAGTCCAGTCTGGCTGGCAGTACCAGTGGTCATGGAGCTGGTGTCCCTTGGTGTCCCACCATGTTTGCTCAGTAGGGATACACAGTCTGTGTGGGGAGTCTGCCACCTTCAAACCCTTGTATCCTTCAACAATTCCTGGGGCAACTTGTCTCAGATGCTGTACTGTGCAAGGGGACATAGTAAAGGGGTTGATAACTATTTAAAAAAACCCACAGACAAAAAAAAATCACCACTCTGCTGGAAGCTTGCTGTGTGTTTCTGCAACAAGACAGTGTTCTTTGGACATTCTCCCTGGTGCATGATAATGAGCGAAGGCTTAACAATTATCAGATGGTTCCCTTATTAAAACCAGAGTGTAGCATATCCCCCTCAGCCGAGGCTAATGTGAAGAGGTTGGTGATTTGATGCAGCTTGCAAAAAAATGGTTTGAAAACGGTCCTCCAAACGGAGGAGGTATCAGGCACAATTAACCAACGGTGCTTCATTAGGATGAGGCATTGCCCCATTGTTTGGCACTGGAGGTAACAGTGAGCGAGAGTGACAAGAAACACTTGAATCCCATTACAGATTAATAAGCAGATGGGGCACAGCCCAGGCCGCATGCTGGGCCGGCGTGCCACTCGCTTTGCGGAGCCTCTCCATAGCTCCCTGCTCTCCCTTTGAAGACAAACCTGATTAGTGCTGGTCGTTCCTTCGTATGTAAATGGTGGGCTGGGGTGGGCATGGTTCCTGGGCAGCAGTTGTAAAGGTGCCAGCCTTTGGCTGCTTTCTGACGTCATAGAAAAATCCTGCCGGGCCGGGCCTGGCCTGGCTTATCCAGAAAAGAGTTTGGGGGTCAGGGTGGAAGGCCTAGCACAAAACAAGAATCTCTAAATGTTATATTTTCATAGAATTGTAGAGGTGGAAGGGACCTTAAAATATACAGTTGTCAGAGCCAGAACAGAACTTGTAAGTTATCTAAATGGGCCAATGGTAGATTAAGCACCTGTCCCAAGGAGGTCAGTGATTTAAAAAAAAAAAAAAAAGGGTCCCATAGGAACTAAGATATTTATAGTTAGCACTTTTGTGGTAGCAAAGAACTGGGAACAAAAGTGGCCGAACAAACTATGGTATTTAGTACATGAGTGTAATGGAACGTTGCTGTGCTGCAAGAAATGATGAGTATGACCACCAGAGAGAAGCATAGGTACCAGGACGCAAAATGAAGGAAGCAGAACAGAACAAGGAAAAGGGTTTTTCTGACTGCAGCAGTGCAGTGTTAAAAACAGTACCAAGAGGATCCCTGAAACTGAATGAATGCTGTGAAATGAAGAGAGGAGAGTGTAACTTCTTCCCTTCTTTGCAGAGGGCAGAATTATGGGTGTGGAACATGGTATTCCAAGGGAGACTTGGGTGATCTGTCGGTTAGTTTTGCTGTATTATTTTTTCTTCCTCTTTGCTATAAGGGATGTTTCTCTGAGAAGAAGAGGAAGGGGGAATACATACACACACACACATGTATATGTATATACACACATGTGAATATATATATATGTGTGTATGTGTATATGTGGAAATGTAGGCAATGTAAAAACAAATATTAAAAATTGGAAAAAAAAATCTGGTCTGACCACATTTTACTAATGAATAAATCAAGGCACTTAAATGGGTATATAAATGTGCTATTTTTTGTTATTTTGCAGTTTGCAAAGTGTTTCCCTCACAATTACCCTGTGAGGTAGTTAGCACGAGTAGTGCTATCCCTGTTTTACAGATGAGGAAACTGAGGCCAAAAGCGGCAGCCTTTTGCTGTTGGTTCCTAACAGAAAGGCGAATTGATTTATGCTACTCTTGGAAAGATTTGAAGAAGACCTAAGTTCAAGTTTCAGTTCTGCCATTCCTGTTCTCTGAGCCTCAGTTTCTTTATCTGTCAAATGGTAATAATTGCACTTTTCCCCTCAGAGGGCAGTTGTAATGGAAGTACTTTGTAAGCTAAGAGCAGTATTGTGAATTGCTGCTGCTGCTGCTGTTGTCCTTCCAAAGGGAATGTGTTCGCATCAGACTTTCCACTTTTGTGGAACCAGGCAGGATATGAAGCTGAGAGGCCCCTGTGTAATTTGGATTATCCACTTGTGTCTCAGCCCTTCCCCTTTGTTGCCGCTCTCTTGAAGAGCCTCTTCTCGGGGAGCCAGAGGACAATCCTAGTTTCTCCCAAGTAAGTGGTGCTAATTCTTCCAGCCAGGGAGCAAATGACCCTTTCTCTGGCCTCATGTGATCACAGACCACAGGGCTCCCACTGTGATAATTTCTATGATGGATGGATACTCATTCTCCTTTTCTTAGGTCTACTTTATAAATCTGGGTATTTGGGTCTTGCTAAAGAAATGTCATTCCCTCCCATTCAGCCCCCTCCACTCCCAATGATCTAAGGAAGTCAGATGTCTCAGTGGGATTCCACAGAACTGAATGGGTGGTTTTTAATGAAGTCTAATTAGGAAGTTTTTTTTTTCTTCTATTTTTTTTTTGTTGTTGTTATGAAAACTAGAAAAACAAATAGGAACCATTTATCTTACCAGGTGGCCTGACAGGGAGGGAAGATGAGAAATAACAGTAACTGATAATCCTCCATTGAAGTCTTCCTGGTGCCCCCTCCTGACAGGAGGGTGACCCAGGATTCCTGCACATCCTGCTAGTGGAGCAGAAGCTCTGGCAGGCCCTCTCATGCTTGAAAGGTTTTGACCTTGTGCCAGATGACAGAGCCATGACTGTTGTCTGGGCACTAGCTTAGCTACGTATGGAGGACATCATCACCAGGTTGCCCACGAGATAATAAATGTGTTTTGGCCCAACAACTAAAAAAAAAAAACAGAAAAAGAAAAAAATATAAAAAACCCCAAACCTCCTTTAAGGCATAAAGGGCTTCCAGTACGTATTAGTGGAAAGCATTATTTTTATCAATGAGATTGTAGATCCTTGGAGTATTGAATAACAATTTCTGTAGCACTTTAAAGTTTACAAAGCACTATACTCACAAAGCTAGAAGGCAGGTGGTAAAAAAATGTTTTTATCCCCATTTTACAGATGAGGAAACATGAGACTCAAGAGTTTACATGACTTGCCCAGGAAGGGGGATGGGGCAGTGTACTCTAGATATGGGTCCCAGTTGGTGGCCAAATATCACTGTCACTTGTTAGAATCAAGAAACAGCTTTGTGCAACTGCTAGACTAAAAATTCATTTTGTGTTTCCTTTCTACAGATGGCGGCTCTTCAAAGTCCCTTCTATGGAGATAAAATGAATCTTTTTTCTCTTTGTCAGAAGATAGAGCAATGTGACTACCCTCCTCTTCCAGGAGAACATTACTCTGAGAAGGTGAGTTAAAGCTGGGAATAGCTGGAGTCACCAATTCATCTGTTTTTCTGTTAACAGTTTTAGGGGCCATGCCAGTTATTGTCTTTATGGCCACAACTGGCAATGGTACCAGCACCTTCAGATACAAAAGGCAATTAATTCTGTCTGCCCCTGGACCTTTTAAACTCTAATTAATTTTCTTTTAATTTTTTTTATTTTTTATTTTTAGGCAATTGGGGTTAAGTGACTTGCCCAGGGTCACACAGCTAGTAAATGTCAAGTGTTTGGTCTGAGGCTGGATTTGAACTCAGGTCCTCCTGACTTCAGGGCTGATGTTCTATCCACTGCGCCACCTAGCTGCCCCACCCCTATTTAATTTTCCACAGACACTGTTTACACAGAATTACAGAGTGTTATGCCTAGAAAGAACCTTAAGGGATTTAGTTCATCTTGGTCATTTTAGGTAAGGAACTTAAGCTTAAGGTGACTTTTCAAGGTTACATAGCACATAAATGCCTCGCAGAGCTGGAATTCCAAACTTGGTCCCTTTGGCTTCAATTCCAGTGTCTTTTCTCCTTACACACTATCCCTGCCTTCCTTTTTATGTGTGGACTTTGCTAGAAATGTCCATGTGTGGTTGGCCACACTTGGTAACATAGCAAACACTTGAGGATGTACCTGCTGGCAGCCAGAATTTGTGTAAGCTGACAGATGTGTTTCCTGTCTGCACAATTACTGTCTGCATGCCTCCCTCTGGCTATGCTAAAGAGTATGTGTAGTGCACTGATGTAGTCCAGGGTGAGCAGAATGGTTTCCAAGACTGGGTCCCAGAGAAGGACTCCAGATGGTGTTAGACACTATTAACAGAACGCTGGAGAAGGCAAGAGACCTCTTACTCTCTCGCCCTGCTGTTTGCTATTCCTAGCAACCAGGTTCCTTTTTTCCCCCTTCTTTTTATAAATTGAATAAATAGAATATAATCCCCTTTTGTCTTTAGCTTCATGGTTTTTATCATCAAAAGCAGATGAATGGCTCCCTTTCTAAGGAGCCTAGGCCTTCCCAGGGCATGAGTTATACTGAGAGTGATGACGAACAGCCAGGTAAAGGAGGGTCTGTAGAGCTTTTGTGATTTGAGATCTACATCTACTAGCAACCTAGAATACTTTGAAGGCAATAGCAGCAAAGTCCTTTCCCAAGAAAGGAATAATCCTTACTAGAGATGTACATGTGCTCCGTGATAGCAGCTCCAACAAACCAGAGACCCAAGGATGCATTATGAAATACATTTTTCTCCCTTCTCACCTCATTAACACCCCCAGGCAGGAGATAGCCACTAACTGTATGTATTCTGTTTTTGAAACTTGAGGTTACTGGTGGGAATAATTCTTATGTTCTGCTGTTCTGAATTCTTGGAGGTAGAAGGTTGCTGTTTTTATTATCAATGGCTAACATCTTTTTATGTGCTTGTTAACATTTATGCACTGGAATGGGCATGGTGGTTTTGTTTGAATGTTTTAGTTTAATATTTTCCAAATTAATGCAGTCCTGGAACATTTTGGGGTTAGAAATACATTGATGGAACCCACCACTTTTAGTCAGGGAAACCTGGAAGATCTCTCTCTCTCTCACACACACACACACACACACACACACACACACACACACACACACACACGTATATATACGTGTGTGTGCACATATACATGTATATATGTACATATGTATATGTATCCTATCCAAGAAATTAACCCAATTTTATATTGGGAAACTGTTGTGCACTAAATATTAAAGGATTCAAAATTTCATATTTCCCTCAAAGCTGAAAATCATTTAGCTTCTCATCCTAGCAATCAGAAAAGAGCCCAAAGTGTCTCAGTAATTTGCCCAAGGTTGTATAGATATTAGGCAGTAAAGCCAGGATGCAAATCTCCGCTTCATTAGTGACCTCCCCTAAATCATGTTGCTTCATAAATATTTTTGAGTGGAAAGTATCACTAGCATCCCTCTTTTCTTGGCAAGACTGTTCACATTGGGAATGTTCATTTGGAATTTGAGGACTGGGGTTTGAATTTACTTGTGAAAACTTCTATGACAGTCACACAATGAAGAGAACTTCCTCTGAGAGCACCACATCAACCAGTCTTCTCCGTTAGAAGTTTTAGTTCCCCAAATCAAAAACGTGATAGCTAGTTTTCACTGTTTCAGTTGGGAATCTTGCTGTGGCCACCAGTGATGAGGTTCTTACCTTCAAGAAGCATTTTTACCTGTTGTTTCCCAGAAGTCAGAGAAAATGTGACCACCTCAAGCTTCTCAGTTCCTTAGGAACTAGGAATACAAACTTACCTAACGCCATGTGTACACATAAGTGAAAGGCATTAGAATATATTGATAAACTTTAACTTGATGACAGTTTTTCTTGGTTATTCAAATCTGCCAAGCTCCAAAGTAGATAAAACTTTAGAGCTGAAATAGGAGACTCAGACAATGTCAGAGCTGAAAAGGATGTTAGAACACAGTCTGTTCATCTATAGTCTGGTGGCATCAAACTCAAACAGAAATGGGGACCAACAAACTGTGTATAAGAATCCCTGAGGGCTGCATATGGGCTTGATTTTACATTGTGATATCTATGTTTTATTCCATTTTTATTATGTTAAATATTTCCCAATGACATTTTAATCTGGCTTGGGCCTTACTCAGGAGTGTTATAGGGAGATGCAAGCCACATGGTTGACACCTCTTATCTAGTCTAACCCTCTTAATTTACAGATGAGGGGAATGGGACAGAGAAGGAAAGCCAAAGGCTACTATTGGCAGTTAGAACTAGAATCCATTTAAAAATGTTTTACTGTCAATCTTTACATGTAGCTAGCTAAGCTTCCAAAATGATCCTTTATACTCATGCCATGTACCTGAAACCTCTAACAATGCCATATTCTGTAGTAAATTGTTCTGTTTGGTCTCAGAGGACAGAATTAGGAACAATGGGCAAAAGCCACAAAGAAGCTAACAAGACTAGATGTTGGGGGAAAAGAAATCAACTACCTTTTCAACTGTTAGAATTGTCAAAAAGTGAACTGAGCTGCCTTAGGAGCTGGTGGTAGAGGTTCCTCCTTCCCCGAGGTCTCTAAGTAGAGACTGAATGATCACTCGACAGGCATATTACAGTGGGGTTTCCTTTTAGGTATGAGTTGGACTAGACAGCTTCCAAGGTCCCTTTTCCAACTCTAAAATTCTGTGACCCTGTGGACAAAACACGTACAATGCAAGGCTCTGTTTGCACCCTCCCTCTTCCTGTACTGTTGTTCTCCTGAACCTCGTTTAGTAACTGAAATGCATTCATGGGATGCAGCTTGTGAAATGCTGAGCCCACAGGGCACTCAATGTATTCACTTGGTGTATATCCCCTTCGGCCGCCCAAAAACCGTGTGTGCTGGGCAGTGGCTAGGTATTTAAATGAGAAAACAGTGCAGTGAGCTCAGTGATGCAATTTAAGATGTGTACTTTATAAGGTCATTATTTTAATTACCATTAAAATAATTGGCACTGTGGCTATCAGGATAATGTGAGAAGATCAGAGGCTCAAGGCTGTTCCTCCCCCAGCCTTGGAGGTATGAGCAGCTTTTAGTCTGTGTAATTAAAAGCTCCTGTCTTTCATGTGTACAATAAAGGGGGCTGGGAGGTGGGTAGTCTAATTGTAACCCTTTTGCATTTTAATGCATTTATGATCATCAATAAGCCCTATCCTTGAGTTGTGTCCTCTGGTCTTAGCATCTTCATGATTGCCATTTTACATCCACACTCCCAGGTTCTGTGGTGTACCTTATCTCTAGTTATAGCTCAGTGCTTCATTGCACTGTGAAGACGTTTCTGTGAGGAAATGTCAATGCTTTTCCCTCTAAAATATTAAACGTTCTCCTGAAGTTCTTTGCTGAAAACTCATCCTTGTGTGCAGGTGACCCTGGGTTCTCAATGGCTCTGCCAAGATATAAAGTCTTTGAATCAGTTAGGGGCCCATGGACTATGCCTGCCATCTGGACCCCAATCTAAATAAAAGCAGATGAGAAACCTTCTTCTGGTGAAGAACCTAACCAACAATGGGTTTTTTTTTCCCCCCAGTAGTGATCTGCAAAGATGGATAGAGTGCTCCACACTGAGAAAGTCATGAACCTTTTGAAGTTAAAAATATAAAATATGGAAATATATAATATGTCCAAATGTGTGTAGCCTTTTCTTCTATGTAAAAATGGGCTTAATAGCTTCACTTACCTCTCTTTATCTTGGGAGTATAGATACCACCTGCATTTATGGGTTTTTTCCGTCTATTTCAAAACTCAAATTAACTGGATTTAATTATAGTTAGATCTCAACCCAATGAAGCCTCACTTGTTCAGCAGTTGAGTAAATAGTGAAGGTCTTAGCTCAAGACTTTTGGAATGTCAGTCTCCACTCTAATTACTTCAAAGGACGATTCCCTCCATGGTAATGGATACAGTTCTCTTTCTTCTCTTTCAGTTGCGGGAACTGGTCAGTATGTGCATATATCCAGACCCTGACCAAAGACCTGACATTGGCTATGTACACCAGCTAGCCAAACAGATGCACATCTGGAACGCCAGCACTTGAATCCAGAAGAGATGCACACAACAAAGCCATCATCACTTAATCTTACTTGAATATTCTTTCTCCAAAGAAGCTGACTGGTGGCCCATGAGTGGAACAACTGAGAAGAGGCCCGGGTAGTTCTGCAGGTTTTTGGTCCTGGCTTTAAAGTGAAGAGGCAGTGCAACCTTGGGGGTGGGAGTGGGATGAAGGGGGGGTGGGGGGAGAAGCTCAGGACAGTTACCATTCCTCTTCAGAGAGTCCTTTCTTTAAACAGTTGTGCATAATAAAGGATAGTTCTGTTAATAAGGGTGTCTCAGGGAAATTTCCAATGAAGCACTCTTTGTATCTCAATTGTAATGTGAAATGCCAAAAAAGAATTCCTTCATTGAATTGTCTGTCAGTGTTTATACAAATGTAAGATTTGCCATGGACTGGTGGTTTGTATAACTGCTAATAACCCTCTTTTGCAAATGGTTAATAGTACATTTAATCAAGTCCTTCATATCCTTTTTATATGATCAAACTCTGTGTGTGGTGTTCTCTGTTGCAAAGTGAAAACGTGGGGAGTAGGAGTATTGGTTTGGTGGTTTTAAATTTTTTCATGGAAAAGTGGAGATTTTGCTAATGTTTTATCAGTTTATATCTCATTAAATAAGAAGTAGGGAAGAGTTAGAATTATAGCGTGGTAGAGCTGGGAGGGACCTAAAGGATTGTCTAATCCAACTATTCATGTTACAGAGAAGGAAACTGAGGCCCATATAGGGGAAGTGACTTGTTCAAGGTCACACTGCAAATTATATGGTCAAGCCAGGACTAAAATCCACATTTCCTGGCTCCCAGCCCCAGTCGCTTCCTCTCTACCAGAAATTCATGAAGCAAATTTTCACTAAAGATCATTTATTTTTCTCTCCAAAACTCATCTGCTTGAATGTAGCCAAGGTTTCCTCTCAATGTTTTTGTTCCACCCTTGTCAGCCTTAACAAGTTCAAATATTTGTGCTGTTTTTGCTCATATACAAATGCCAACCAAGACTGTGGATGGCATCATTCAAGAGAAATGTCCAACTCAGTTATGTACAGAAATGTTCTGCTTATCTTGTTTTCCCCAACAGGATTAGTCCAGGTCTAATTAACTGTGAAAATGAACTTATAAATGTGAACTCATGGTAAACGTAACCTTTTGAAGGATGTGGATGGAATGTGTTTTTATACATAGACAAAACTGTCATTCCTGGGAGCTGGCGATGCTCCAGTGGGTCAGAGTGAAAAGGACTCCCTGGTTGGTGGGATTCCTGCTTGTCTGAAGTAGAGCTATGGTGAGGCACTCGAGCAGGACTTTGTGCTGTTTGATATACTGCCTCAAACCCACCCCCGACGTGTGAAATTATTTCTGTGGCCACAATGTAGGGTTTTGAGATTTTCTTCAAATGCAGTGTCTGCTTTGTTCTTAATATTTGTTCTCCAATACTGAAATAAAAACTGGGGTAAGAAGGGTTACACGTGTGTGTGTATGTTTGAATAGAATGATACCTCTATAATGTCATTTAATCTAATTCCCTCAGCATCTGACAAGAGAAGACAACTGTCCCAAGAGACTTGGAGAGCTGAAGATATAGAATACTGGAGCTTAAAGGGACCCCCTTGAAAGGGATCTAGTCCAATTCTTCTGTTTTACAGATTAGGAAGCCATGTCGGACACGTGGCTAGGTAAACGGTAGAGCCTAAATAAGTTCAAAGCATTATCTCAAACTTAGGCACTTGCAAAGGTCTCCATTAAGTTACTGACAGTAAAAATCACCTTTAAGGATGACAACAGTAAACAAACACAGTGACGTAAGGGTTGCATATTCCAAGCTAAAGTCAGCCTCAGGTGGATGTTTTTTTAAATACTACTGCTGAAAACCAGGGAAATGGCTTGACCACAGCAGGTTGTGTTCACCTAGCTTGGCTATCTATCAGAAGAGAAAGGGACCAGTACTTACCTGCTATAAAATAACATAGGAACTTATTTTGAAAAAGTATTTAAGGGCCAGCTAGGTGGTACAGTGGATAGAGCATAGGTCCTGGAGTCAGGAGGATCTGAGTTCAAATCAGGCCTCAGACACTTACTAGCTGTGTGACCCTAGACAAGTCAGTTAACCCCTATCACCTCCCTCTGCCTCCCCGCCAAAGAAAAAGTATTTAAAAGTCCTATAACTTTATTTTATAATTTGATCTGGATAGCAGCTGCATAATATAGTAACTAGACATTATATATGACTTTGAATCGTAGTTCAGACACTTCAATAGGTATAGGACTTCGATGACTATGAGTCTCAGATGCCTCATCTATAAAATGGGGATACTACCTACCTAACACGAAAACTGTAAACATTAAAGAACTACAGAAATGTAAGCTGCTGTTACACTTTGAGAATATTCAACATCCTGTAAGGCAATTGAGATAATTTAAAAAAAAAACCAAAACATATAAAATGACACATCTGCCTTAGCTACATAATTACCATTTGTTTATTAGTGATACATTGGTTTTACATGAGGTGACCTAGGGGCAACCCCAAACCTTCTGATCAATGGCGTTGATGAGCGAGCCCTTTTAGGAAGTGTCCATTGTCTGTACTGTTTCATCCAGCACTTCAATTTCCAGGGAAGTGACTTTCTCAGTAAGAATAGCAGTTGTCCCTTTCTCACACTTGTACCTGCCAAACCTATGGAGGACAAAAGAGAAAGGGGTAAAGGTGAACTTGGTTTTCAAATCCAAGAGCTGAAAAGGACATTTGAAAGGAGAATATTAGAAAAGAGAATGTTAGAGCTAGAAGAGACCTTAAAACAGAACTGGAAATTGGGCCAGAGAGATGCAGGGATTTTTCTCAAGATACAGCAAACTAGTTAAGTAGCAGGTCTGAGACTCAAATCCAGACTGAACTCCCAGCCCACAGTGATCTTTCTTAACTTCTGCTGCCTTAACTTCTTCACGCAAGAAACTGAAAATGCTCTCATACACTCTTTAGGTTGACAAGGCATAAGCTCACACATGGCACCTGCGGGGAGGGGGAGGGGAGTAGTAGCTGGAACCAATGGGTGAAAGTTATAGGGACACAGATTTCAAGTCAATATAATCACTGTCAAAGAATGGAATGGGCTGCTCTGTTATAAACTGAGTTCTGCACTGCTGAAGGTGTCGGACCTAAACTATTCAGAATTGGGAAACAAAGCATCTGAGCAGTACTGTGCAGAGTGTAAGGTACATATTTGTACAGTTAATCCTCACGCTGGGGCTGGGAATTAAGACACTGTCAAATGCCAGTGCAAGCCCAACTGCTCCTCCCATCCGTCCCCAACTGGAGGTTCATTTCCATAAATATCAAGCCTCATTTGGGCTCACAGAAAGTTGTTGGCTGGAACAGGACATGCGCACCTCAAATATCTACCCTCCTTTTAACCGAAGATTTGTCCTGGAAGGAGGCAGAGGAAAGAGCATTCATTCTCTTTAGCCATCTCTAGATCTCTGCAGGGCCCAAACCATGTAATCTCTAAAACCACAGCTCAGAAAGAATGCAAACTGCAAAAGAAGCTTTTTCTAAAATGTAAGCAAACACTACAACTAAATCATTTTGGTCTGGTAGGCTGCCCTCTTGGCCAAAAGCTGGTTTGTACAAAACCTGAGGGTAGTCTAGAATCACATAATCCACAGTCATTTGGGGGTATATCTGTATATCAGGGAGATTGAGGCAATGTAAAAACAACATATCAATAAAAGTCTATTAAAAAATAAGTCATCTATCACCTGATGTCATGGTCCTCTTTGAGAACCAAAGGACAAACAACAATGACAAAACAGTGGAGAGGGGTGATCCCTTATTAGTAAATTGTTGTTCAGTTGTTTTTCAGTCATTCAGTTTTTCACAAAGCCAACTCTTTGTGATCCCATTTAGGGTTTTCTTGGCAGAGATACTGGAATGGTTTGCCACTTCCTTCTCCAGTTATGAGGAAACTGAGGCAAACAGGATTAAATGCCTTGTTTAGCATCACACAGCTAGTAAATGTCTGCAGCCAGATTTGAATTCAGGAAGATGAGTTTTCCTGACTCCACATCCAGTTGAATCGAAAATGAAAAGCTACTCAGTAGTCTCGTATTTTAACATGTTAAGTATCAAACTCCTGGAAGAGTATAATAAAAGCTAAATATTATTGTACCATTAAAAAAAAAAAGTCATCTAATACAATCACTCATGTGACAGGTGGGAAAGTGGGGCCAGATGACTTGTACCAAGTCATAAAGTTTGTAATAGGCAGAATTTGAACTCAGGTCCTGATTCTAAATCCAGGGCTTCACTATGCTCTCTGCCAGATCCCAAAGTACCCACACAGAGGAAATCACAACAGATTCTTGTTTTCCTCTGCAGAATTGTACTGGAAAACTTATTGGGGCTTAAGAGTGAAATCTGGATTCAAACTCTTAGTTACTAGTTGTGAGAATTTGAGCAAGTCAAATTTCTATGAGCCTTGCTTACAAAACAGAGGTGGTCATGATGCTTGTTCAGGTACTTTGTCGGCTTTGCTTCGAGAAAAAGCTTTGTAAACTTTAAAGCATTACAGAAATACATTTAATAACTACCATTTCCCTTTCACAGACGAAAAATGAGGAAGCTGATCTGATTTCTCTCTAAAGGTCCTCCCAGCTCTGAATCTTAAAGATCAGCCCATGTACCAAAAAAGTGCTCTGCACATGATAAGCAATAAATGTTTGCTGTTATTATTATACTATGATCTCATACTAGGAATCTATATTCTCAAATCATTAGGAGTACAAGGTAACCCCCACCACCAGGCTTGTTCTTAGGAGCCTGAATGAGGAAATGCCCTGATGCAATTTTCTAGGAGTGACAACATGACCACTTTGGAACAAAATCTTCATCACTGTGTGGATGAGGTGCTCACTGTTGGATTAGAAATTTGGGGGGGGGGGGGCCTTTTTATCTCCTTGAGTTACAAAGCCCTTATCTTCAGCAACATACAAGGTAATGTTTTTTTAACCTTGGGTAAATTAGCCACAGAGCACTTAAAAACCACAGATTGCAGAACTCAATAGCTGAGGGAACTCTTAAGGCTCAGATTAACCAATGAACATTTCTTCAATCAGTATCAACACTCATGAAGAGGGGAAGACAAAGAAATGTGAAGGTTGGACCCACTTAGCCTTATGCCCTGAAAGTGTCTAGACTGCAGGCAAGGGCCCAGCCCAGACCTGTGACAAGCCCTTGGAAAGTTGAATCTATACATCTCAACCTCTGTCACCAAGTTCATATCCTCAAGTCACATCTGTTACAGATGGCATCCTGGGATAACTGTTCTGTTTTCCACTCTCCAGCTTCCTCTGACTGCTCTCCCTCCAGCTTTAAGTACAAGTCATGAAACCCAAATCAAGTCCAGGCTCTGCCACAATGAGCTGAATGATTCTGGATCAGTATTTTCTTCCTCCAAACCTATTTTCTCATTGGCAAAATGAGGTCAGCTTAGATAATTTCTAAGATTCTAAGGTCCTTTCCAGCTCTAATATTTCATGTTCTTCCACTTTCAGTTCTAATAATTTATGGGTTGAGGAAAACACTAAAGCTCAAAGGCCTTAGAAATCATCTAGTCCAATTCCTTTATTGAGCCCAAAGAGATGAAGCACCTTGCCAAAGTCAAACAATGATTTAGTGACCAAACTAGGCTCAGAATCTGTTTTTCTTGACTGAGTGGTCTATTATTTTCATTGTTACTTTAAATAAACAGTCCTTTCTTTCTTCCTGGATGCACAATTTAGTAACTGCAATTTCTAAATATGTTTTCACACAAACCACCTTTGGGGGTGCGGGGGGTAGGGCCCATACAAAACCAGTACATGGTCAGGGCATCACAATACACAGGATAGCCATTGGCTGGTTAATGATAGTATGAGGTGCTTTCCGCCCTTAGTAATTCTATAACTAAGTATAAATTATACCATTTATTTCTCAATGACCACTGGACAAGTTCAGCACCTTGGTGAGTACCTGCCAAAAGACTATTATGTTTATCCGTGTAGCCATAAGCTGGGGTCAAAAAACCCTCAACATCCAGAAAGAACACCTATCTCAGAAGCTCCTATGGATACTGTTCAAAGTTTAGTTATAAGACAGCTTCTGGAGGCCACCAGAGAGCTAGAAAGATGTAGGAACATGGACTACTTAAGTATAAAATACAGAATAGTAACACTATGAGGACTCTAGGAGAAACCATAGAGTTCAACCTTTTCTATTTTAAAGAAAGGAAAATTAAGGCCCTGAGAAGTCAAGTTAAAATGTCACAGTGTCATTAAGCAATAGAAATTGGATCTCCTGGTGCTCTTTTCACTGAAATATACCATCTCTCACACTGTGGAAAATCAAGTCAACAAGCATTTATTAAACACTTACTATCTGTCTGGCACTGTGCTAAGCACTGAGGATACAAGGAAAGGCAAAAATATGGTC